TATATATATATATATATATATATAAATACCTTGAATCTCTCACATTACACCACAAATCTCACTTTCACCTACATTTAAAAAAAATGAAATACACATATTTTCATGCATAATTAAAATGGCATGAGTGCAAATGATTAAAGTTTTCTTAATCTTCTCATATATTTATCTTAATACTAGTTATGACAATATTCATAGTTGGGTGAAAATATTTAAATTGTTTGAAGGCTCATATACAAAGCTTGCAATTCTTATGTGCCCACATATATCTTACATAAAATTTTTATATCTAGACACAACATTTTGTTACTTCCACCTATGCAAGAAAAATGTATTTCACCTAAAAAAAATTGCTCATAGCATAAGATATCAAAGGTTTATATACTATATGGGTGAATATGAAAGTTTAGGTGTGAGATATGTAAATGCATAAGAATTGAGTGTTATGTAAGTAAAGCTTAAGTGTTTGATGTGCAAACATTTAAGTTGAATGATTTGCATAATTAATACACTTGGTCATTCACATGTTTATAAATATGCGTACTAGTACATATGTTTCTGTGATCTCATGTTAACTGCTTCTCATATCAACTTTCTGATGCTTCTTTGCAAGGTAAACCCGGTGATGGTGGGAGTTTTGGATTACCGTAAGGGTCAACTCGGAGCGGATGAAACAAACAACATCAAACTTCACGTTAGTGAACAATCTTTCTTTTCAATGTGGTAATATATAGATCATCAAGGGAGTCTATAAATCAGAAGGTATAGGGTTAAGGACGATGATGAGAAAGACATCTAAGTATGCGTGATAGTAGGATAGTGTTGTGTCTCTTAAACTCAATGACCTCATGAGGGTGCGGGATCGATACTACCATTCACCAACATTTGGTAAAGAGTTGTCCTTACTTTTATGGGTTGTTGGTAGCTCTAGCTCAGCAGTGTGATTGACTTATGAAATATCTGATTTGCAAAAATATGTATAGTTATAAAAAATATACTTTTGGATTAAATCATATTTTGTCTGCTAAAAAAATCTAAATCTAAATTATTTTTCTACAAGACAAATTAAGAACTTTTTTTAGTGTTGTCTTTTGGCAAAGATCTTTTGTCAATCACACAAACCGGGCTGAGTATCACCCTCCCTTGATTGTCTTTCTAGTAGCCTTTTACCCTAAGTTTGGTCTCACATATATGATGTTGATGTTGCCTACAAATGTTCCTCAAGAAATTGTTAGTGATTACAATAAATAAAATTCTACACATCCAAATAAAAAGAAAATTCACTCATTCTCTTCCTCATCATCATCAACCTCATCTTCAATGGAATACTCATCCATTGGCTATCTTCTTTCATAAATTTGGTAAGAAGAATTCAAAAGAATTATCACCTCCAATCCATTGGTTCCTATGATACATCTCCAACTAAGCAGCCAGGTAGCAAACCATTTATTCAAGATTCAAATCTTTGAGCATTGGTTATTAATGTAGGATAAGTAGTGTAATGTATTTTGTTGGAATTGTGAATTAATGGGTCACATGTCATATCTTAGCGGATCACTAAAGTTTTAGAGATGATCATCTTCAAGAAAGAATAATAGGTCTGAATGTCCTTCAAAATGTTCAAGAGATCGTAAATGTGCTCACGTTATGACCCTGAACATCTTTTAGAATCCTCTAAGTCATTTTGAGTTCATTTAGACTAATTATTTTGTTGAATCGATCATTCCTTGTTAATTTAGTTGTAATGTTTTAACTCGTGCTCAGTGAACTTTTAGTATTTTGATTAACCCATGAGTAAGGTGCCTATACATTCATTTGATGCACCATTTAGGAATTATGTGGGTGGACATTTTTAAGGGTATGTTAAGTTGTTAAGGAATCCTCACCCCTTTTGTTGCAATTGAGTTTGTAGTGTTTAGGAAATGTTTATAAATTTTTTAATAATCTTTTCTAAGCCTCATTAAGTGATGTGAGATCAAACTTAGTTCACTATCAAGCTCATAAGCCTTTATGGGTAGATTTGCAATTTTGGAAAAGGTTGAGTGGGATGAACATAATCTTTATCAAAAGACTGCATTATCACTTAACCATTGGTATAAAGCTTCCTGATTAGTGAGTTACCATCCTTCTAAATCAAGCCATTTACATTAGCATCATCCAATTTAATTAACTTACAGACCACAAAAATTTAGAAATTTATACTTTTATCCTTTTATAGAAAATAGAATGGATTGATTTCTAACCCTTAACCCTTTATGTTTCAATCATTTTAGAGGGTTAACAATGATCAATATTCCTTTGGTTTAGCCTAAATCATAATTAGATTCTAAACTTTAATAATTAACATTTTGTCTTTAGTGCTCTCCACTTCATAATTCTTTAACTCAAATGACTTTAAAACTTTGCTAGTACTCTACTAATGTGTTAATTAGAACATCAGAGGAGAATATGTATTTTCTGATTTTTATTTAATTTTTAATTATTTTTTTAGTGCAAATTTGGAATTTTCAACAATAATTAATATAGCATTAAAATATTTTTTTTGTCCTTAAGAAAATTATTGCAGGTTCACTTAGGTTAAATGACCATTAGACACAATTTTTGTGAATTTTTTAATTATATTTTAATTTTTACCAATTTTTAGTTGATTTTAATGAATAAATAAATATATAATATATTTTATTTCAAAAATAATTTTTTATATTTTATAAGTCTCTCTGACTTCAGGGACTCGAAGAAATTAATTTTGTATTTTTATTCCATTTATTATAATTATATTACTCGTAAATTAAGAAAATTCATTTAATTATTAAAAATACTTTTTTTTTACTTCCTTAGAAATGTATAAACACATATTTAGGCTATTCTCCATGGTTAGGGTAATACTTAAGGCAATTTGAAGTATTTTTATATTTTTTTGGAATTTTTGATATTTTTAATGATCAAAATTAGGAAAATAGCTTAACTTTTTTTTTATTTTAACTTCAATTTTATTTTTCTTAAGTTCCTTTGGCCACAATGAATACTCCAAACCAATTCATGTAAATTTTTTTTAATTTTTCTTTTATTTATTATAATTATTTTAACTAAAATTATTATTTATTTTATGACCTTCAAATTTTTACAGGGGCCTCCTAATGTCATTATCTACAGGTTGACCAATTTTGGTGATTATTTGAATTATTTTATATTTTTATAATTTTTAATGATTTTATTAATTTAAAATAAGAGAAATGACTTGAAATTTTTTAAATTTGACTTTTATTTTTCTCAAGATCTTCTGACCACACTGAATTTACCAAACATGATTTTATATTTTTTATAATTTTTTTTGATTTAAAATAATACCAAATATTTCAAAAATTAGGTCTTTTGATCATATAAATGTTCTCTAACCCTGAAAAAATTAAAGAAGATCCCTAAGCTTATGAAGAACGAACTCTCAAATTT